GAGACTACAGGTAGGGTAAAATGAAAGTATTGGGGTGAGGGTAAAATGGCTTAGGGTTTAGGGGAACATGGTTCAGGGTTCAGGGTTTCGTAGTCGTTTAGAGAAAAGCTGTTTGGGACCCTATGCTTCTTAGGCCTTGAGCATGTGGCGTTGAGGGTTAACTTGGTGTTTCATGTTTCCCTAAACCCTAAACCCTACACCGTTTGGGGTTGAACCCAACCCCCAAACCCCAAACCCCAAACCCCTAAACCCCTAAACCCCTGAACCCCTAAACCCCTAAACCTCTGAACCCCCAAACCCCTAAACCCCTAAACCCCTAAACCCTCAATCCCTAAACCCTAAAACCTAAACCCTAAACCCCTAAACCCCTAAACCCCTAAACTCCTAAACCGTCTAAACCCAATCCCCAAACCCCTAAACACCCTAAACCCCATCCCTAAACCCCTAAAACCCCCTAAACCCCTAAAAACCCTAAACCCCTTAAACCCCTAAAACCCCTAAAAACCCTGAACCCCCTAAACCCCTTAAACCCCTTAAACCCCTTAACCCCCAAAAAACCCTAAACCCCTTAAACCCCTTAACCCCTAAAAACCCTAAACCCCTTAAACCCCTAAACCCCTAAAAACCCTAAACCCCTTAAACCCCTTAACCCCCAAAAAACCCTAAACCCCTTAAACCCCTTAACCCCCAAAAACCCTAAACCCTAAGCCCTAAACCCTAAACTCTAAACCCTAAACCCAAAACCCTAAGCCCTAAACCCAAAGCTTACTAAGCCCCCTTTAAAAGCGGTGCTCAGGACTGGGATCCCGAATGCCGAGAGTATCTTTGCTGCTTGTTCGGCTGCGAGGTTTGGGGCGGGGAGTCCCGCCTGCAAAGACGTAGGGTTTGAGGGTTTAGGGTTCAGGGGTTCAGGTTTTAGGGGTTTAGGGTTCAGGGTTTAGGGTCTTGCGAAGACTCGGCGGTGCAATGCAACCTCGTCACAGACAGCGAGATCTAGGTTCAGGGTATTGAGTCAGCAGGGGCTGGGGGTCTTTGCTTGCCCAGGATTATACGGTATCTTTAGATCGTTAGTTGCAACCCTCAACCCTAAGCCCTAAGCCCTAAACCCTAAGCCCTAAACCCTAAACCCTAAGCCCTAAACCCTAAACCCTAAACCCTAGAGTTTAGTGTTTTGTTTGCTTTGGAGCTTGACATGTTAGGGGCTCTTGAAAAAGCGCTGCACGTTGAATCCCCAGCTCACCATCTTTAAGTGCTGAACGGGACTGTGCGGGATGCTTTACTTGGAGGTTCACGGGTAGTTATAAGTGGAGTTATAAGTCTCCTAACATAGGTTATAACTATAGTTAGCCTACTTATAACCCTACTTATAACTACCCATGAACCTCCAAGTAAGGTTGAGAACAGGTTTAGGTTTTCGGTGTACCGTTACTTGTGTTGTTTGCGAGTCTTCTGGACGCAGCAAGCGATTGAAGTAACAGGTGGTAAAGCCTGGTTAATACCGTAACATGAGCCCGCTAAACCTTAAACCCTAAACCCTAAACCCTAAACCCTAAACCCTAAACCCTAGACCTGACCCTCGACCAGACACCCTTAAACAACTGAGGCAAAATTACCCGAAATCCACACCCCTGGCCACTACACCCCTAAACCGGCTGAGGCTCTATTCCTTAAGCCACAAAATTTCAGCCTTCAGCCTAGACCCGCGCCTTGAAACCCCAAGAAGCTATAAACATCACTATAGTTTCTTTGGAGGGTTTAGGGTTTAGGATTTAGGGTTTAGGGTTTAGGGTTCAGGGTTTAGGGTTTAGGGTTCAGGGTTTAGGGTATATGGTCACTCCTAGACCCTATAAGCCCTAAGCCCCAAGCAAGAACCCAGAGACGGGAAGCCCTGCTGCGTCTGAGGAAGCCTGGGTACGTCTTCCCGCGGGACCGGGGGCTAGTTTAAAGCGTCTTGAACATTTGGTGCAGGGTTGCAGGGTTTAGGCTTTAGGGTTTGGGGCTTTTGGGTTTAGGGTTTCGGTTTGGGGGTTTAAGGATTTCAGAGTTTAGGGTTTAGGTTTTAGGGTTTGGGGGTTTGGGGTTTAGGGTTTCGGTTTGGGGGTTTTAAGGTTTGCGGTTGAGGTTTTGGGGTTTGAGGGTTTTGGGGTTTGGGTCTGGTTTTGTGTTCATTCGGGCTTTGAATTTAGTTCGTTCCAAGCATTTTCTTTGGTTTATTTTTGGTTGGTTTGGGATTTGCTCGGGATGAGATGTTCTTCGTTGGTTTTGCTGTTGTTTTTCGGTTTGGTATTTCCACTGGGATTTTGGTTCCTTTGGTTTTGGTTTGCAGGTTTTGGTGGGATCTTGGATACTTGCCGGGGGGTGTGCGATTGGCCCAGGAACGGGATTAAGTAGGCTTTAGGGTTTAGTGGTTCTTTAGGGTTTAGGGTTTAGGGTTTAGGGTCTCTAAACCCTACACCCTAAACCCTAAGCCGTGGCTTTGGGATTGGTTGTGCGTTGAATGAACCGACTTCGGCGTTGTGGCTATCTCCGGGTTCGGGGACAAGCTAGGGCTGCCAGGTTTTGGTGTTCAGAAGTTTGGGGTTTAGGGTTTAGGGTTTAGGGTTTTGGGTTTTGGGTTTAGGGTTTAGGGGCGTGCTTTTTTTGGTGTCGGTTTTATGTTCTTGGGCTTCAGGTTTTGGGCGGGCTTAAGGGTTTGGGTTTGAATTTCGGGTGTTCAAGGGCTGACTTTTAAGGATTTGGCTTGGCCTTCCACTCGCGGCTCAATCTTCAGAAGTTTGAAACTTCCGAGCAACCTAGATCGCTCCAAAATCAACCTGGTTGTAAGCCGAATTCGTAGCTCGCGACTTTACGCGCTAAGCCGTAACCCCGGGCTTATGATGATTGGCATGCTGCATGAATCTCGCCCAACCAGCATTTTCCCAATGGCCCATTGCAAAATAGGTTCAACCTTTGCTGACAAAGACGAAAACCCTGTCGCGGAACTTTCAAAGGAGCGGCTAATGGACTCCGGTCCTCCAAAAAGGGATTTTTGGAGGCGATATCAAGCTCCTTCAGCGGGGGCAGATCAATACTTGCATCCCGAAACCCTGAGCCATTCCCAAAATCCTAAACGTTAACCCACAAACTGCAACAAGGCCTCTAGACTCTAGACTCCAATGTTGCGCCTCTGGAACCGAAAGTCATAAAGCTGCAGAAGTACACCCACGAGTCTGTAGTCTCGATAGCGTTTTTCATTCTAGAGCCCTTAGAAGCCAAACCAATTAATGGTAGTGGCTTTGCAGGAATCATAGTTCTATTTATCCAGACTGCCGTTTTGCATCATTGACCGGACCCTTACGGCCTTTTTGTTGCCTCTTCTCCGCCCTAGGGGGTCGAAGCTTACTAACACAAAATACCAGGGAAAGTATCTCAGACCCTGAAACCCTATCCCTAAACCCTAAACCCTAGACCCTAAACGCTAAACCCCTAAACCTTAAACCCTAAACCCTAAACCCTAAACCCTAAACCCTGAACCTGGGAAAGTATCTTAGACCTCAAAGCCCCAAGCGCTAGGCCCCAAACCAAGAGCTTTACGGTGGAAGCCTTTGGGGTGTAGGGTTTTAGGGTTTAGGGTTTAGGGTCTTAGGGGTTTAGGGTTTAGGGTTCAGGGTTTAGGGTGGAGGGTTTAGGGTTTCCGGGTCTTAGGGTTTCGGGGCTCAGGGTCTTAGGGTTTAGGGTTTCAGGGTCGTAGGGTTTCAGGGCTCAGGGTCTTAGGGTTTCGGGGCTCAGGGTCTTAGGGTTTAGGGTTTCAGGGTCTTAGGGTTTAGGGTTTCTGGGTCTTAGGGTTTCAGGGCTCAGGGTCTTAGGGTTTAGGGGCTCAGGGTCTTAGGGTTTAGGGTTTCAGGGTCTTAGGGTTTAGGGTTTCAGGGTCTTAGGGTTTAGGGTTTCTGGGTCTTAGGGGTTTAAGGGTTTCAGGGTCCTAGGGCTTTAGGTCTTTAGGGTTCACAGTGTTTAGGGCCTTAGGGTAAAGCCCGCCGACACCGCAGGACTTGAAGCAGGTCTTCGACCAGCTTTCGTCTCAGCGTTGGGGTGAATCTGAGGTGGAACATCGGGGCCTGAATATTTCGACGAAGGGTTCCTCTTAAACCCCTAAACCCTAAACCCTTGAAACCCTAAACCCTAACCCAAACCCCTAAGGCCCCGAAGGTCGTGCCCTCAGGAAAAGGGGAGGAGGTGTCTGCACGGATTCCATGATTAAACCCTAGACCCTAAGGTCTAAACCCTCAACCCTCAACCCTAAACTCTAAACTACAAAAAACCTTAAACCCTAAAGTCTAAACCCTAAACCCTAAACCCTAAAATTTGGTATCTGCCTTTGGGAATTCTGGGCAGTTTTTGTATATGGCCAGCCCCAAGGCGCTCCAATCGGAATGATGTGAAACGGCATTGCCTTAGAGTCCTGAACAGAGTTCTAGTATAATGCCTCAACATCCTAACGGTTTAGGGTCGATTGTTTAGGGTTTAGGGGTGTAGCGCCTCAACATCCTAGCTGTGGCGGCTTCTTGAATGCTTGGGTTTGAGGCTTCCCCGGGTTTGCTGAGGTGTTCGGGTTTAGGGTTTAGGGTCGAGGGCGTGGCCACCCCCGCCTGCTTCTAAATTGAGAGGTGAGGCCAAACCTTAGACCAAACAAACCTCGCGCCCAACATCCCAAAACCGTACCAACGGGATCTACGCTTTTGGGTATAGTGTCCTTAGTATTGGAGTAAGCCCTAAATCCGAAACCTTATCTTAAGCCCTAGCCGAGGATGGGCATCAAAGTGAACGACAAGGAGTGCGACATGCTGGTGAAGGCAACGAATGGGTTTAGTGTGTTTAGGGTTTAGGAGTAGCGTTCAGGGATTTTCCGAGTTCTTCCTTGGAGCTTTGAAAGACTCCGCAGAGCCAGATGCTGCCTTCTGTGCAGCCGTTTCCGCCACGTCTCAAAGAGCCAAGCTGGGCCCTTTCCCCCTGCCCTCTTCGCCATGCTCCTCTGGCTCCTGTCAGTCTCTCTGGTCCTGTGCGGTGCCGCCGCTGGGAAAGTGCGAAACTTGGAGGTTCATGGGTAGTTATAAGTGGAGTTATAAGTCCCCGAAACTATAGTTACCCTACTTATAACCTTACTTGTAACTACCCATGAACCTCCAAGTATAGACAGGCCAGGCAACCTCTGCTACGCGGCCTGCTACGGCCATCTGCAAGCGGCAAAGCACTTCCTGGAGCAGGGCGCCGCCGTGGATGCCAAAGACGACAACGGCTACACGGCGATGATGTGGGCAGCACAGGAGGGCCATCTGGATGTGGTGAAATACCTCGTCGAGCAGGGCGCCGCCGTGAATGCCAAGGAAAAACGAGGTAGCACGGCGATGATGTGGGCAGCACAGAAGGGTTATCTGGATGTGGTGAAATACCTAGTCGAGCAGGGCGCCGCCGTGGATGCCAAAGCCGATTACGGCTACACGGCGATGATGTTGGCAGCGCAGAAGGGCCATCTGGATGCGGTGAAGTACCTCGTCGAGCAGGGTGCAGACGTGGATGCCAAAGACGATGACGGCTACACGGCGATGATGTTGGCAGCGCAGAAGGGCCATCTGGATGCGGTGAAATACCTCGTCGAGCAGGGTGCAGACGTGGATGCCAAAGACGATGACGGCTACACGGCGATGATCTATGCAACACAGCAGGGCCATCTGGATGCGGTGAAGAACCTCGTCGAGCAGGGTGCCGACGTGAATGCCACGAGCAAACACGGCTGCACGGCGATGATGTTGGCAGCGAAGAAGGGCCATCTGGATGCGGTGAAGTACCTCGTCGAGCAGGGTGCAGACGTGAATGCCGCGAGCAAATACGGCTACATGATCTATGCAGCACAGAGTCCGGATGTGATGAATTACCTCGTCGAGCAGGGTGCCGACGTGAATGCGAAGACCAAACACGGCTAAACGGCGATGATGTGGGCAGCAAAGAATGGCCATCTGGAGGTTGTCAAGTACCTCGCTGAGCATGGCGCCCAGATCGACGTGAGGGCCGTAGACGCAACCGGTGTGCCTGAGTGGAGAATGATTCAGGATCAGGCCGTGCAGAAGTGGTGGCGGCAGCAACTGACCATGTGAAAGCTTTGCCAGAGGCTCGCGTGGAGCAAGAAGACCTACGTGGCCCTCCTGGGTGGGCTTGCACTCGCATTGGTGTGCGTCCTGCTCCAACGCCACTGGGAGCACCTGCCCCTGTGTCCAACATTCAGCTCCCCCGACTACTCGCAGGAGTACATGCAGGTGACTTCAACAGATCCATCTCCGACTCCCTACCAGCAAGGCGCGCAGCTACTCGCCGCCAAGAGCCTACAGGCGTCTCGCCTTGGCCGGTTCGCAAGTGTCTTCCGACTCATGACGCTTGTCTTCCGTTTCGTGGAGGTTTTGGCCAATGCTGTCTTCGTGTTTGGTCTTGGCATGCTCATCGTCTGGTGGCCCTTCTGGATCCCGTTGATCTTCCTGGTGTTCTTCATCCCGGCCCTCGTGGTTTGGACACCGCCCGCCAACCCTAAACCCTAAACCCTAAACCCTAAACCCTAAACCCTAAACCCTAAACCCTAAACCCTAAACCCTAAACGCCGGCTCTGGCCTTTGCAGCGAGGCCAGGGGCCGGGCCACAGCTGCTGGCGCCTTTTGCGTTGCCTTTCTCCTGGAGTGTCCTCGTGTAGGGCCTATGTGGGAGTTTCCGAAAATTAGGGGTAGGGTTTAGGGTTTAGGGTTTAGGGTTTAGGGTTTAGGGTTTAGGGTTTAGGGTTTACCTTATTTTGGGGTCCTTATAATAAGGATCCTATTATTTGGGGTACTATATTAGGGTCCCCTATTTTCGGAAAGCCCCATGTGGCTCAGCCAGACGATGTGCATGCGCTGCGCGGCTACATTTACTACCAGGTGCAGACTAAGAAGTTGACTGGTGGATTTTTGGACTACAGAAACAGCTGGACATTGGTTTAGACGCCAACATTGGCAAAGCGACGCGCTGGGCCATGTCCTGGAAACCCTTGCCGAGGATGCAACACCGAAGGCGGCTTTCCTCCACAATCCTACGGCGCACCAGGCTCTGAGGACCCAATTCTGGTGGGACCTGAACCCAGAGCTTCCTGTGCATGCGGCCCAACTTGGGTGGCTTCCAAGTCAACTGCATGGACTTCAAGGAGCGCTCGGCAGCATCGAGGACCACGTGGAGAGCGTCAACGTGTTATACTTGATGAGGGCCTTCTTCATCGTTGCCATGGGCAGTCCCCTCGTCTACATGCTCGCTCTCCTCGTGCAGGTCTTCGTGGAGCTCGCACTTCGCTTCGCGCCTGGAGGGGCGCAGGGCGCCACGGACGTGGACCACCGCAGGGAGCTGAGGCAGAAGACCACCGGCATCATGAAGTCCGAGTCTGATGCCATGCCAACCGACGTGGAGCCGGCGACCTGGTACAGCTTGCTGCCGAAGCTGGGTTTCTTCGTGCTGGACATTTTCTTGGACGTGAACACCATCTTCACCCTCCTGGCATCCGAGAACTTCCTTTTCGCCTTGATGCTCCAGGCGATCGTCTCGCGGTCTTTCATGTCGCAGTTCTTGTACGACCGGCCGACACGCGTCTGCGAGGCCACCCATTCCAGCATAAGGCGCGGAATCTTGAGATCGGACTTGTTGGAAATGCTGGATGAAGAGAAGGGCTTTGAGGGCGTTCTGAGCTTGGCGCTGACCGCCTACAGCCTTCCATTCTGCACCATGACGGCCAACGGGACCCTTCTGCAGCTCTTGAGCATCATGATGAGTGCCTTCAACGTGGCCAGCTTCGTCTACGAGCAGATCGACCTGAACATGGTGACAGGCCTCGTCCCCTTGGTCGAAGAGGACGTGCAGCTTGTCCCGGTGCCCAAAGAAGACATTGAGAAGTTGGGGGAGACGTTGTTGCGGTCAGGATCCCAATGCAGCTCTAGCAAAGCTAAGCGTGAGGGGTTGCACCTCCGCGCATCTCTTGCAAGTTTGATTCTTTTACTTCTTCTCTCACGTTTACGTTTCCTACGGTGCGAGAATCAGGCGCACCGCTATGTGCAGCACAGAAATTTAGAGGGTGCCCTTCCCCTCGTGCGGAGCGTGTGCTCCTTGGGGAGACCTGCCTCTAAGAGGCCGCCGCGACCGGAACAGGGGAAGCACCTCAGGAGCAAGCGGAAAGAAGAGCAAAGCACGGCGCCGGACTGGGGCTGGAGGACGGGATGGTGATTTGGGCTGTCGTACGGCCTTGCAGAGGGGGCTTGCGGTGATTTGCTTCGAACCGTGTATGTCTTGTGGAATATCTGACACAATGGCTACAAAGAAGATGTCTATGTAAAGCCCTCTCAAGCCCAACCCAAACCTTAAGCCCAGTCTACAAAGATTTCGATAAACCTACGCAGCTGAAGCTTGCGCTGCAGCAGGCCGTCGATCGCGATGCGAAGGGCGCCAGGGGCTCTGCTTGCAGTTCCTTCTTGTTTGACGATGAAGGTTCAGGGCCTTGGAATTTTGAAGGCTAAACTCTTCAGTATTTCAGTGTTGGGGTTTTGGGGTGTAAAGGGGTATTGGTTTTTCGAGTGGCGGGTTTAGGGATAGGTTCGGAAAAGAGATTCCAACATCCCGTAACCTTCACAGATTCAGGATGCCACCTCTACTTGCAGGTCCAAAGAAAGAAAAGGGCTGTAGTCTTAGGACCTCCTGATCAAAGGAGTTGGGTTTATTGATCAGGGATCTACATCTACATGGAGGTTTATTACGACGGTTCCTTGCCAAAACTTGCGGAAAGCTTACATGCCGCGGTTGATGTTTAGCGCTCGTGAGGGTTTGAAGCGTAAATTTCAAGTGTAGATTGGTGGGTTGGTTAAACTTTAAGCCCTTTAGGAACTTGCCTCCCGTCGCTGACCTGCGAGGGGTTCCCAGTATATCCTCATCTTAAACCCTAGCCTACACCCCAAACCCTAAACTCTACACCCTGAGCCCTCAACCCCGCACGCTAAACCCCAAGCCCGAGAAAAACCACAGCCAAAGCTTCTGTCCCTTAAACCCCAAACCCTGAACCCTGAACCCTGCCCCACAGAAACACTCAACAAAAAAAAAGCCCTTGCCCCAAACCCTAAACTCCAAGCAACCAAACCCCCAGGCGGTGACCTACGAGGAGTTCGCGGATCTCATCTACGGCCCCCGCCTCTCCGTGGGCGGCTCCCCGAGGGAAGCCCAGGAGATTCCTACCTGCCTTTTTGAAGGATAGAGGGTTTGGGGCTTAGGCGGTTTTGGGTGTCCGTTAGTTGGTTTAGGGTTGAGGGTTTAGGGTTGAGGGTTCGGGGCTTCGGGTTTGGGGTCTTAGGCTTGTCGTATTGTCTTTGCTTTCCACTCTTACGGACAACGAGTAACCAGTACTATTCGCATGAGTTTTTCTGATGTAATTGAGATATTTGGGGTTACCGGGTTCAGCGTGTAGTGTTGAGGGTTTAGGGTTGGGGCTTGGCGCCTGGGATTGTGTTTCAACTAGGTTCCGGAGTAGTACCCTTTCGCACTTTGTGTTTTGGGGTCTCCTTATTACACCGAATACCAGGCAAAAGGGTACTCTTTTTATCTACGGATCACTTAGGAACCTAGTCAAGGGGTCAGAGAAAAGGGTGTAGGTTTGCTGCTAGCGGAGGGTTTTGAGGAAGAAGAATGCATCGTTCCGCACTGCGAAACGCAACGAAGCCACTTGCTAGGATCACCAACATCATCGTCGTCGTGTTTAGAGAAGCGCAGTAGTTTCAGTAGAAGCAACAGCCGCAGCAATTGATGCTATCCAGTAGGACTATCAATCTTGATGCTTCTGCTTGTGCTCTTTCGTCTCCTATTCCCCCTCTTCATCCTCCTCCTCCTCTTGCTCCTCTTCCTCCTCCTCCTGCTCCTTGTCCTCCTACTCCTTGTCGCCGACTGCATTATCGCAGTCATTGCCACGATGATGGCGGATGATTGTGATGATGATGTCTGTCATGATCAGGTTTCATCATAACCTTTATCGTGGCTATCGTGGACATTGTAAAAGCATATAACAGAAGATATGCACCATCATCCTCGTCATCAGTAGCATCAGCATCATCGTCATCATCACTACATTCGCCATGAGCACCAACATGAACATGGTATAATGAAATGAGGATCATCACGATATCGATCCACCCGCATTTTCATTTACATTACCACAACGATCATCGTCACCACCACTATTGTTGGCTTCCTCAGGTGTTGCGGTTCCTGGTGTGGCCTATTCCACTTGTTAATGGAAAGTGTTGTGCATGTTGGGCGTGGACCAAAGTCCATGCGACCTAACCTAACCCTCAAGCCCACACCCGAAATCCCAAACCCAAGCCCCGGTACCGGTAATCTTAAGGCTTGTGGTCCGTAGGCCCTCGTCCGATCCTCGCCCTGAAGTCAAGATCTACCGAAACCTTGGCTGCGGTGGGGAGGTGGGGGGTTCGGGACCCTACCAAGGAGCTCATAACGGTCAAATAAGAGTTTAGTCGCCGACACCCCTCCCCCTCCCTATAGTGAACTAAGTGGCCCCACTCTCTAGGTTCATTCAGACGTGGGGTTTCGCGGGTCGTAGCTGCCGAAGCAAAGAACTGTAGCGAAGAATAATAAAGTCCGATGAGCGTGAAGATCCTGAACCCCGATGAGTGTACACAACCCTGCGCCCCTCTTCTTCTGCAAAGCCCTGTGCGTTAAAGCCTTGAATCAAGAGCCCCTGAAACCTTGAATCAATCACTTTAAAAACGGGAAAGCCTAAAGCCTGAACCCTAAATCCAAACCCTAAGTCACAGGCATCTGTGAACGCAACGATCGGCTCGGCTTTAAGGGGGACTTGGGGCAGAGGTGCTTGCAGGCCCAGCGTACTTGGTTAATGGGGTCATAAGGTTTATACGGGTTCTCT